CCGGCCCCGGGCGCGGCGGAGCGGCCGAGCCCGCCGCCCGCCGGGTGCATGGACAGGAGCTCCCTGCTCCAGCTCATCCAGGAGCAGGTGAGCGCGGCCGCGCTGMCGGCGGGGGCCACCATCGGGCATCTCTCCATGGGGAGGGTTGGGAAGGGGGGGCCCGCGGCCGGGGGCGCTGACCCGCTATGAGCTCCGTTCTGGGCATCGCCGCTGGGTCCAACGCGCCGCCGGTCCCGGGAGCCACCGCTGTCCGCGGAGGACCGGCCTCGCTGCTGCCCTCCCGGGGCCTCGGGAATCCTCCCCGCGTCGGCAGGGCTGAGGCTCCGCGCAGCTCAGCACACTTGTGACCTCCTCCCCACAGCAGCGCTCSCTTGCTGGGAAAGCGCCGGGCCGCATCCTGGGGGTGCTGGGGCACCTGCGAGGAGGGGGTGACACTGGGGCCGGCGCGTGCGGCCGTGCTGAGTCTGGGGCTGGCTGCGGGATGGGGTCCCAGCGCCCTGGGGCTGCTGCGTGGCCCCCCCCCTCCCCGGCCCCGCTGCAGGCTCAGGCTCTGCGCGCGCTTGCAGGGGGCTGCATCGAGCCCCGTGACCTGATTGCGGGATCAGCCTGTGAAGCACTAGGGCTGCACAGCGCCCAGCGCCCGGCTCCGCTCGCAGGATTGGGCCCCGGGCATTAACGCTTGCTGCGCCCGCGTACTCCGGCTTCCACTCGGAGCGGCTCCTGGGCTCCCGCGTGCCTGCTCCCAACCACCAGCATGGGCAGGAACACTGCACTGGAGCTGGGAAGCAGCGTTGCTTCTTTCTTAATGGTAGCTGGGAATTTTAGGCTCAAAGTCCCTGTCCCCCCTCCCCACACACCCCTCGTTCCCACCCGACTGGCTCCGTGACCTTGGGCAAATCCCCCGGGCTGGGGAGCTGCGTTATTTGTATCCAGCGTCTCCCTGGCAATGAGCTGCGGGCTGAGCCGAGCGCTCAGAGCCCTTCTGCAAAGAGCAGCAGGCTCCCCGGGCAGGAGCTGGGCCGGGGGYGAGGGGAGCGCCGTGGGGCGGGCATGGGCGAGGGGCACGGGGGGAGATGCACCCCGGGAAGGAGGGGGCTACTGGTCCTGCCGGGCTGGCCGTGGGGCCCGGCTGGCACGGGCTGTGCTGGCACTGGGGCAGGTACCCGGCCCACGTGTCCCCCGCTGCCCGGCACGGCCAGCGCCAGCTCCAGCCTGGGCTGTCCCAGTCCCACCTCACGCCTCCCCACGTGGGGCCAGAGCCGGCRGCTGCCACCAGGCCTCAGGCCAGGATGTCCCCATGAGCCAGCTCTGAGGTTTCCCAGCCGGGACCAGGGGCAGGGAGTGGGAGCCTGAGCGGGATTGAGATCCAGAGCACCCGTGAGTGCCCGTGTCCCACGGTGCCCTCATCCTGCCCCTTCTCCAAAGACGTTGCCAGCAAGTTTCCTCCCTGCACCTCAGCCCTGGAGAGGGAAGCAGTGGCAGGATTGGCAACTGCCTCTGATCCCGGTGGTGCTGCAGGTGCCSGTGACCTTGCTGGCCCTCGGCTGGATGCATGAGCACATTTCCCTTGCCTGGATCCACTCTTGTCGCACCATCCCAGTGGCACCATGTGGTGGTGAGGGTGGCACAGGGTCCTGCAGGGTGCAGGATGRCCGGACACACTGTGACAAACCTGAGTGTCCCATCGGCCGGGCCGCGTGGCAGGGCGGGAGCAGGAGCTGGTGCCAGCGCCGCCCGTGCGTTCAGCTCCGTGGCTTCCCGGCTGCCGGGCAGCTCCAATTAAGAGAGATGAGTGGGAGAGGCGCCGGCTGCGTCGCGGAGGGGCAGCGCCAAGGGGCAGCACAGCGGCTGCGAGGAGCACCCAGAGCCGCCTGCGCGTGTCCGTCCCCCGCACCCAGCCCCRTCTGCCCAGCACTGTGTACCCGGGCCTGGGAGAGGGACAGGGACACCCCMCACACACCCCATGGAGGCCAACGCTGTGGCCAGCACGGAGATGAGCCCGCACCCTGCTCCGCAGCTGGACCCCGACAACACGGGCTTCATCGGCGTGGAGACCTTCGCCAGCCTCGTGCACAGCCATGAGCTGCCGCTGGACCCCGCCAAGCTGGACATGCTGGTGGCCCTGGCGCAGGGCAACGACGAGGGCCAGGTCTGCTATCAGGAGCTGGTAGATCTGGTCAGTGCCAGGGCGATCGGGCTGGGCCGGGAGCGGAGGGGACCGGGGTTGTCCCAGGGCTGCATTGGCACCGTGAGGGTCCTGTGCTGAGGTGGCTGCCAGGGAGGACAGTGACTTGTGGCACAGCCTGGACCTGGCCGGTGCTGTGGGGCACCCTGCACGGCCCCCCCATTCCAGGAGGGAGGAAGGGGCCGGCTGGTCCCTGTCCATGGGAGGGGGCGCCCGCGATGCTGCCCCTGCGCGGGGCGGCCCACGGCCTCTCTCGCAGATGAGCAGCAAGCGCTCGAGCAGCTTCAAGCGCGCCATCGCCAACGGGCAGCGCGCGCTGCCCCGCGACGTGCTGCTCGACGAGACCGGCCTGGGCTTCTACAAGCGCTTCGTCCGCTACGTGGCCTACGAGATCCTGCCCTGCGAGATGGACCGGCGCTGGTACTTCTACCAGCACCGCAGCTGCCCCCCGCCCGTCTTCATGGCCGCGGTGACGCTCACCCAGGTGCGTCCCGGTGCCCCCCGGGTGCCCATGGCATGGGATGGGGTCAGGGCTGATGGCTGTGCTGCGGCTGCCGCAGATCATCGTGTTCCTGTGCTACGGGGCCCGCCTGAACAAGTGGGTGCTGCAGACCTACCACCCCGAGTACATGAAGAGCCCCCTGGTCTACCACCCTGGGCACCGGGCGCGCGCCTGGCGCTTCCTCACCTACATGTTCATGCACGTGGGGTAAGGCCGGCCCTGCGGCGCTGGGGCCAGCACCCCACGGGGCCCAGTGCTGTGAATCCCTCTGGCAGGGATCCCATGCCCAGTGCGGGAGCCCAAGGCCGGAGGGAGCCACCAGAGGTGCCCGCGGGCTGACACGTCCCTTGGCGCGTGGCAGGCTGGAGCAGCTGGGCTTCAACGCGCTGCTGCAGCTCATGATCGGCGTGCCCCTGGAGATGGTGCACGGCATCCTGCGCATCAGCTTCCTCTACCTGGCGGGCGTGCTGGCAGGTGGGCGCGCGCGGTGCCTCCGGGGCTCCGCGGGGCCGCGGCGCCCGCGCTCACCCCGCCGCCCGCAGGCTCCCTCACCGTCTCCATCACGGACATGCGGGCGCCGCTGGTGGGCGGCTCCGGCGGCGTCTACGCGCTCTGCTCTGCCCACCTCGCCAACGTGGTCATGGTAAGGCCGTGGCCGGGCGGGCGGGCGCCGCGGCGGGTGCTGCGCGCTGCCCGCCTCTCCGCGCCCCGCAGAACTGGGCCGGGATGCGCTGCCCCTACAAGCTGCTCCGCATGGTGCTGGCCCTCGTGTGCAGTGAGTAGCGGGGCGCAGGGGGTGCCCCCCGCGGCGCGCGGGGCCCGCGCTGAGGCGCCGTGCCCCGCAGTGAGCTCCGAGGTGGGCCGCGCCGTGTGGCTGCGCTTCTCGCCGCCGCTGCCGGCCTCGGGGCCCCAGCCCAGCTTCATGGCGCACCTGGCGGGTGCCATCGTGGGCATCAGCATGGGCCTCACCATCCTGCGCAGCTACGAGGAGAGCCTGCGCGACCAGTGCGGCTGGTGGGTGGTGCTGCTCTCCTACGGCACCTTCCTGCTCTTCGCCGTCTTCTGGAACGTCTTCGCCTACGACCTGCTGGGCGCGCAGATCCCGCCGCCGCCCTAGYGCCCGCCCCGCCGGCCGGGGGGTGCCGCGCGCGGCCCGCACGGCTAGCGGCCACACCGCGAGCGATTTATTTTTCTATACCAAAAACCACAAAGAAATTATATAGAGGAAGCAGTGAAGAAAACGGGGAGGAGAGGAAGGCGGCAGGTGCTTCCGCTGCGCCCGGTCCGGCCGTGCCCCCCTGTCCCCTGCCCTGTCCCTGGCCGTGTCCCCCCCGTCCCCGCTTCGCTGGCAGCCGCGCGGGGGCCGCCCGCGGCTCCCCGGCMTTTTTTTGGAGAACAAATAAATATTTTGCACACCGGTGGCCCCTGCGCGGCGCGTGAGGCCGGGAGGGTCCTGCTGGGTCCCCAAGCAAAGCGCAGCTCAGCCAGGAYRTCAATGGGAAGGGGCAAGGATGCCCATTCCCACCACCCCACCAATGCGGGGGTGTTCAGGGAGGCCCTGTGGGCTGGGAAGGGGCAGGAGAGACAGGAGCATCCAGGAGCGAGGGGAACATCCACCCACTCTGGGCAATCTGCACCCCACAATGTGGCACCCCCAGCCCCCTTGCAGCCCCCCCCC